TGGTAGTCTTGTGTTGTGAGGACGCTGACTGGGCTTCGGCGTTGGTCAGACGAGCTGCAAGAAAGATTATGCATTGCTTGCTTTTGGTGAAGATGAGAATGCACTGGCGTGATTGTGATGTGCCAAGGTGAAGTCGATCATGTTATCTAGTGGCTGGTGGCCCCAACCTCGAACTGAAATCAGAGTCGATCCCACTCCAAACCAAAATTTACAAAATATCTCGAGCTTCTCTCGATTCTCAACATCGATCCTGAAATGACCAACACGGCCGCCGTCTTAATCGCCACTGCTTCCACCTATGCCTCGCCAGAACGTCGCAGTTGGCGTCCTCGTCAATGCGGACGACGGTATCAAGGTACGCTTTCAGGCGCTGAATGCTCTTCTCTCCCTGACGAATAGTGAGAGTTAAAGATTGATTAAGTATCAACTAGAGGCCAGTTAAAGCATAACTTGAACATGATTTCAAACATTTCGAATGCGATGATCACACAGTTAGAACACGACTATTCTTCTACTATCCCTCAACACGAATCGGCGTACGATGTACTTGTATCCAACTGGCGGCTGCAGAAACATCCACACACCTTCTTATCCACGTCACTTACCGACAGCTCACTCCCACTTGGATGACTCTTTGTCTGCCTGCGCCCGTAGGGGTTTTCTTCCTCTCGAATTCAACGGTAACCCGGAGGCCATGGTGGAGATGATAATTGAGTTTGGTCCGTGTTTGGTTCTTGCCTGGCGATTGAAGAGGTGAGGAGCCGAGTCGCTCTTGTCAGGTTTGTTCTTTGTTCGGAAGGCGTTGGGGGAAGACACTTCTACAGGCCTATCTATACATCAAGGCAATAAACCCGTTTGCTCCCGTAGGTGGCATCATGTTCACTATCCCCCCAAGACCGAGAAGCATAGGTTCATTTTACTGAGGTCAACAATACTTTCTTGACTGTAGACAAGGTGCAAGGAAGCCACTGATATAGAATCTTGGGAACTCCAATAAACCTAGTGCACGCCTCTGTCGAGGTCGCCCTTATGAATCAGCGAAAGGTCCTGAGCCCTGCTTCAGGAGGATGAGTTGTCGTCGCTTAGTGTGGTGGCTTAAACACAACTGAATTGGCACCTTTTGGGCTGGCGGGGGGCAACACAAAGAGGCGGTCCGCTATTATAGAAGTATCAGAAGGTTGACCTTTTCCTTGAGCAGATAGTAACTTACCTGTTAATTGTATTTTTCGACAGAGCCTTCGCTACACAGCCCATTGCCTGGATATTCACTCAACACTCCTTCGTACAAGACTAAACATCATCAACGTACATCTCGCGCTTCTGCTCATCGCTGAGAATTTCGTAGGTTTGTGTGACTTCCTAGAACTTAACTTCTGACTCTTCTGCAGCCCCCGAGTAGCACCCCCATCGTTGCCAAATGGACTAATACACAGAATCATTCAGCTGTTCGGGAAAGTCCCGCGGCGGTCCCGGCGGTCCTGAGGTTGACCTTAACGATATCCTTGGGCATATTGTCGACTTGCTACCCACAAGCTATCGGTAGAAGTGGCTGTCACATCACCGCGGGAGCCTTCTGCCTTGACTTTTGCCGCCACTGTGGAATCGGTAGAGGTGTCGGTACGCTCTGGTTCAGTCGCCGCACGATGCTTCTAGGGGGGGAGGAGGGGTTCCTTAGTCATAGGCTGGGCGCGCTTATTGCGGGCGGGGTTGGGAGACGCTTCGCTTCGAGCAAGTTGTACATGGCTTGTTTGATAACGTTCTCATCCTTCAGGTCAAGAAAATGATAGAGACCGTCTAGAAAGGCGCATATCTTGCCGGGGTCCATTGGGAGGTTGAGAAGTGTATTAGAATTACCTCGGCTTGTGCTTGAGTGATAGTAATGTTCATACAATAAGCCTCATCTATAAACCCGAGTTGCATATCTTGCCAGGGTCCATTGGGAGGTTAAGAAGTGTATTAGAATCACCTTAGCTTATTATGCTGAGATACAAGTCGTCATAACGGTGGCTGCAGTAGTCCTTTGCGTATGGTATTGGATGTGACCCCTTTGGTATAGTATCCTCCCTCTATTAACTGTTCGCTCGTAGGCTCTTTGTATGCGACCCAGCGATTTGATTATACCACAAGATCCGGAGACGGTGAAGATTCCTGATTACAGACGAGGCGGATGCTATAGGGACCCCAGTTACTTGGCGAAACTATCTGTATGGGTATCCTTGCGTGTCATCAGGACCCACCATGATCGGTCTAATAATATCTTAAATCAACGACATCCAGGCTGACGATACATCGTACTCTCAATGTTTAAACAGAAAAATGTCGACTCGCAGAATTAAGAAACTCTTGACTCTAGCCAAACGATAGAGTATCGGTCAAGGTTAGATATATTGGAAGCAGGGATGGAAGTCAGTTATCCATGCAGAGGAAAATAAGCCATAAAGTCACTGCTATCAATATCTTTATCTTGGCATGGATGGCATTGACGGCGTATCCGCCCATAGACCTTAACGTAGTGCTTTTTCAAAGAAGCAGATTGCATTTGCGGCCACTCCTACTATTAAGGGATCAATGGTAACACATCTGAAGATGTCTGCAAAGGCGTACTCAACAAGACTTTACGGTCAACCTTGCAAGTGCACTCTCAGTTGTGACTAGATACGTGCAGTTGTTTGTCCGGTAAGTCATGTAGAGGAACTCGGTTATAGCAACTGCAGATCACAGGTAGCTGTGAAGGGTGCTGTCACACACACAGCAAAGCTTAGAAACAGCATCTGTTTATTTCAAAGTGTTATTTATTGAGTAATCGTTCTTAATATCTACGGGCATATTATTATTAAAATCGAGATTAGATAGTAGTCATATGTCACCAGTTCTGAGATGGTCGTTGCATTCTTGCAACCGTCCCCCCTTTATTCATCATTCATCTTGGTCTTTAGGTTGAAAGTGGAAACGAACGAGATGCACATCGTAGGTAAGCACGGTATTAAAAGAAAGATTCAAACTATGTGTATATGTATGCACATTTGCAAATAGCACTAGCCAGCTTGCCATGCACTGTCAACCAACGTACTGGCGGAGCCGCACTCGCGTAACATTGAGATATGTCAAAGGGATAAAAAGAGAAAAAGATAATGACCCCCCTTCCGGGGTTTGAACCCGGGGCTCTCCATGATCCATCCCATATTCAGAAGATAGTAGCACCGGGCCAAGATGACGCCGGATGAATGGAGCGTGCTAACCACTGCACCAAAGGGGGTGTGGCTGTTATTGTTGAAAAATCCTAGGTTCTTAGACATCATAAACCTATGGCCTGTCGTGTCAATAAATAACAAAGCATATGGTTTCCCGCACCGACTCTTGCCCTGCCCTAGGCAGCATAATAAAGGTTAGGCTGATTACAAAATGGTCTGCCTGACTTTCTCCTTTCAACCTTTTTCTCTTCCTTCCATCGATATTTACTACAAACCGGTCGTAAGCCATCTATTACACACAATAATCACTCCAACAACCGAAGCCCTTCTCACTAAGGGGACACTGCAGTCATGTTTAAGGGGTGCCGATCCCCCTCAATAACTTCAATCCTGTCACAAGAGCCTCAATACGTCAGTCAATAGGTCTTACGGCTGATCATGTACCCTTGGCGTTGGAATATGGTGAAGGGACCAAAAAAAGAGAAAGACAGAAGCTATGTGCCTAGCTGATCCCATTCAGGGGGTTGTCAAATAGGGGCTACGAGACATGTCATGTTGTGGACCATTTAGTTCCCGTAAATTATTTTGAGAGATGTCTTCTGGTACCAGTTTGATGATTTCTCAAGTTTATTTCAGGAGATAAACAATGATTTGGGCCATTCAGCGACAAATGGGAGGTCAGGTAGTGTACCATGACAATATCTTTCCAACGAACGGCGGAATGACTACTATATGTTTCTCTCGTTCCCAAGGGAAGACAATGATTAACCCAAATACCCCCTATCGCTAAACCCGCCAGGTATCTCGTCTCTCAGATTTCTACAAATGGAATCCTCTGATCAGGCGAAGCAGGACGTATCAAGCCATATGTAGATTGACTCCAACCAACAAGAAACTCAAATGGAAGATACTTCTACCGAGATCGAAGTCGCCTTCCGGGCCGCAACTCAGAAGGGAAGTTCCAAGCTTTGAAGGGAAAGACCAACATAGCCTGGGTCGAGACCAAGGATGAGGCTGCTAAATAGGCATTAAGTAGAGAAATTGGAACATCATGGAATGCGGCTGAATATGTGCCTCTTAGCCGCCTCTTCATTACGGGAAATATCACGAACGTCATCTCATTCGAGCTGCTCTTTTAAGGATCACCCGCAGTGACAACACAAATAAAGGCAGAGCCAGCAGGCACAGGGAATCTTTGGTAGTTTTATAACCACCAACTCCGAGACACAAACCTCCACCATCTAGCCCGTAAACCAAGCCACACTTGAGGTCCCAAAAAAAAAAAACACTACCTAGAAAGCATAAAGATAACTCTGCCCAAAACAACTGACCCGTCATCCCGCCCGGAGACTTCCCTCATGCCGACGAGGCTTTGCAAGCGAGAGCAATGAGCATAACGTGTTTAACGTTTTAACCATAAGAAATACCTAATATCAATTGTCGGCTGCTCTCTGGCTTGAGAATTGAACTAACCTCTCGACAAGTCTACCCTACATATGCGAGATTGACGTACCTGGACCCTTGTCGCCGTATCTGGTGTTTACCTACCAAGAATCGCATTGAAGGCAGCAAGCAAAGGGCTTCAAACGACTGGCACGCATGTGCCGCTGATAATTGCTTCCCAAGACAGGTCTCAGAGTATCAGACGAAACGGCCCCGGAAAGCACGAGATGACTCATGTCAGGTCACACAGAGCAACCGACAAGTGGAATCGGTGATTTATTATGGTTGAAATGTCATGTACTTTATACTCCTCGCTCGCGCTTCCAAAGCCTATCAGATAAACAACAACGCCATAGTATATACAATCTACATCAGTTGCTTTCCCAGCTCATCGGGGATTCTGTAAATTTCGCCGGTCTTATCATCTTGCAGCCAGTGTTGCTCTGGGAGTATTGTAGGGTTAGGATCCTTAATTGGCTGAATCAGATTCACATGCTCGTGTATATGGGTAGACAGTGTTCTATGCACTTGGCGGATTTCGTGTACATGAGGACGGACATTCTCATGGACAACCGGGTCTCGGTCTGTGTGAACTGTCCTGTCGAAGTCAAGGCTGTTCTGGAGATGAAAGTTGGATCCACCTTCTGTGCCAGCCTGGACTTCCTTATTGATGCGGTCGAACTCGGCGTCTCGTGGGTGAATAGCTTCCAAGTTATGCTTGATGTTGCCCTCCTGGCTAGTATTCGACTCCAAATTGACATCAGACTCTTGAGATATGGGATTGATGTGTGTTGCTGGCTTTTCGGGACCTTCTTGCCCAATTGCTAGTCGCGAGAGCTTCGCCTGGTCATAATGGGTCTCTTCGAAGTGATCAAATGGAGTCAAAGGGTCGACCTCTATTTCAGGAAGCTCCGATTCCTGTTGAGAAACAGCTAGACGGGACAGCCTTCTTTCGAGGTCCTCTGCATCAGGCGAATTAGCTGGCCTCGCCTTTTGATGGTTCGCATTCTCTACCCCAGTGGTATCTTGTCGAGCTGCCCGGTCTGATGAAGCATCGAAGTACTCGTTGCCGCCGGCATTTCCATCAGTATGTGCCTCACCGGCATCTTCTAATTGGATACCAGGCCGTTGGCGTTCCAGTCTTGGGGTTTTGGGGGTCAGATCCGCCTCTAACGGCTGAACTGCCGGATGAGCTAGGAAGCCGTTTGTGTTTTGAGGAGCACTGGCGGGTTTCAATTGAGGAGCTTCATGGTCAACTTTGTGTTCAGACCTTGAAGTTCTGCTCAAGAGACTCAGTGACTTGCGATGGCGCGACTGGGACTTTCTGTCTGAAGCATTCAAACTGTTTCTGTTGCTTGACGGCTCCGCGTTGGGACTCTCAGATGTCTTTCCTGCACCATCTCTGTGGAACAGACGTGAAGCTCGCTTCTTGATGGCATCTTTGAGACCCATGTGAGGCGGTGTGTACCCGGAAGGAGCTCGACGATAATCGGGAAAGGCAGAAGGAGCAGGCAGAAAACAAGGAAAGGGAAGGAGCGATCGTGATGAGGGAGATTGTTTTGTGTATTAGTGATATTACGAAAACAACTCAGTCTCTACTGTACATATGATGAGTTTGCCACGCAAGAGACGATTGCGTCTGTTGATTTGAGCTCATGTCTCAGATTCGGAGAATTCCTTCTGAGGCCATCCATCAGATCATGGCCCAACTCAATTCGGCTCAACTCTATTCGACCAAGAGAAACTCCATGTCATCATACAACGCATATTTACATCACTCACCCCCTACTTCCCATTGATCAATTGAGGTCTACGGTCTAGATCGTCTCGCCGGGATCGACGGCGAGGATCAGTGTGGAACTTTGCGTCTCCGAAGCTCGATGACGCCCTTCATCGGAGCTATAGCACGCTAGTGGATGCTTAGCTATGCTAATCTGAGAACTAGCTCTATAAGCCTCTTGGCCAGAACCTGGCACCTGCTCATCACTTCCTGTTTGTCCATGGCGTCTTATTTGCGAACGGAGACGTCGCGACGAGGGCATCGCCAGAAACGAACACCGGTTGCGGATCAACTTCTCTACGTGGTCTATGGGATATGCACGACCCGCCAACCTGGGTGGATGAGACAGGGCTTGTGTCTCTCCGGAGCACCTGTTCCTCCGCAACCAGAGATCGTGACGTTGACAATCCCTGGTTTCAGCTGAGGTGGACGGAAGCTGATTGCTTGTTGTTGTTCTCTGCCTGCGAGCGTAGGCTTTGGGGCATGCTACTGAGGTCACACCACTCCAGGGGTTGGGCGTTAGGGTCGACTTGACGTGTGCACTGTCCTCAGTCCAGATTCAGCTGCAGATGCAATGCAGTTTACCTTGAGCGGGGGGCACGATCAAGATGCTTGCCGAATGAAGATCGCGGGATGACATGGAGGGCTTGGAGCTCAACATCATCATCATGACAGCTCTAACACGGTGACACGGCCCACACACCAGAAGCTGGAGCTCCCTTGAACTCACCGTTGCCTGAGACTCTCCAGAGTCAGATCCGGAGCTCGAATGATATGACGTTCATGATACTTCCCGTGATGAAGAGGCGGCTAATGATACGTTGGGCACCCACGACGACCTGTGCTATCTTCAAGTATATAAGCTTAAGCACATCTCAACCTAAGCAGCTTCATTCTCATCATCATCACATCAGCCACATTACAACAGCAAAGCAACCATTATTACCAAAATACCGAATTCTCATAACCTCATAACCAACAACCAAATCAACCAAAATGGAGAAAGCAAAGTCTGCCGTTTCTAGCTTCCTTTCCAACGATGGAAAGCACAAGACCACCGTCGATGAGGACGTTCGAGGAGCAGTAACTCAAGAGAGAGTGCTCCCACATCAGCACGAGTCGGTGACTACCGCTCTCGATAAGGAGGTTCACCAAGATCATCATCATACCACCATTCAACCTATCGCTCACAAGGAGACACTGTAAGTGAAATATTCCCCAGTCTAATGAATACGCTAACGAACTCAGTCCCGAGCAGCACCATCACAATATGGTCCCGGTCCAACACAAGGAATTTCACCATGAAGACGAGCAACAGACTCGGGCTACTCTGGACCGAGAAGCTGCCAAGTACAGAGACACCACTGAGACACACAGCACCACACATTCTACTGAGACCGCTCCTACCGTCACTGGTGAGCGCATTCATCACCATGTACGTGGAACCTAAACCTCCCAGCAGTCAAGCCTCATCCTAACATGATATCAAGGTGCATGAACATGTCCAGCCAGTAATCCAGAAGGAGACTGTTCAACCTCATGTGGTTCATACTACGATTCCGATTCAGTAAGTCAATCAACATGAATGCCATCCTGTATCTGATTCTAACTATGTCACAGCGAGACACACCATGCGGCCAGCGTCCACCACGGGACTTCAACCCTCCCCGTAAAGACTCTGAACGAGTTCACCTCCGAACGCGGTGGTTTGGCTGAGAAAGCTGCTCAAAAGCTTACTGAGTTCGAAGGGTGCCCCAAACCGTACCGTCGAGAGTTGTTCGTAGTTTGACAAACCCTTTGCTACACCATGGACTAACGAAGTGCAGGCAAAATGAACAGCTTGAAGGTGACAAGGGCATGCATATTCACGGCCACGGTGACAACTATGGTGAGGGCCGCGGTATTGGCCACACCGGCGAGGGTCTCGCCGCTGGTGGAATGGCTGGCGCCGGCGCTACTGCAGCTTCTCGCAAGCACCGCCACGGCATCGGCCATAAGGATCGCCGTGGATCCAACTCTAGCAGCAGCTCCATGAGCTCCAGCGATGAGGAGTCCCGCGGCTTGGGCAAGACCAAGTCTTCCAAGTCCCGAGGACTTGGTAGCTCTGGAGTCGGCACTGGCGTCGGAGCTGGTGCAGCCGCAGCCGCTGCTGGCGCCGCCCATCACCACCATCAGAACCGTGAGGGTGCTGCAGCTGCTCCCACTAACATGGAGGGCAACCGTGGTCTCGGAGCTACCAACGAGGGTATTCCCGGCACTTCCGGTGTTGGTTCTGGTATGGGATCCACTGGAGCTATGGGTAACACCAGCACCATGGGTGCCAACCGCGGTAGCATCGGAAACCCCAACACTGCCGGCCTTAACAAGCCTCACTCTGGCGGCGAGTACGACTCCATGAAGACCGGTGGTCTTCACAACGATCCTCTTAAGAGCAACTCTTCTCACGTAAGTTTATATCATCTTCAATGAAACATATGTTCTAACAGTTCACAGGGCCGCGCCGACTCTGGCGTTGGAATGACCGAGCAGCGAAAGCCTTCCCTGCTTGACCGTCTCAACCCCCTCAAGGACGCCGATGGTGATGGCAAGAAGGGCCTTATGGACTAAGATGTCTTAGTTGTTTAATCTCGATTAATACCTAGTGTACGATTAGTGATAGGACGAGTAGCGCATTACGCGAGCTTAGCTTAGTGTTTCAATTATCAGTATTTCCTTAACCATTGGTCGATACATTATAAAACTGTGTGCTCAATGTTATACATGACATGTATGGTGCGAGAGATGTGATATCTTCCTTCTCTTCTAGCGTCGAAACTCAATAAAGTATAATCGTCTTTGTGGCGTTTGAACTAACACTAAGTAAACCGCAGGGTGCCAGAAGGGTCGACTATCATAGGTACTAAACATAAGATGAAATACTTTGGCCAGTTTATGCCAGCTTAGACTAGCAGTTAGGTTACTTTATTGTGGTAGCCTAAGACTTAGAAGACAATTCTGCTGTTGCCCACCTGCTAGGTAACCTACATATAATAGGTACGTTTCAAAAGTGCCAATCCCATAAATCGATTACATACGCCCAGCGGCCTGGTGGCTTAAGGAGCAGTAATAAACCTTCGTGGTGGCTCCACAACTTCTGACGTTTGTTACTGCACGTGTGGGTGTGTTCCAATGAGCTTCGTATCTGCTACTGATCTCATGTCATGCAGGCATCATACATACACTCGAGATTGATATAAGATGAACTGTTCACGGTTACGACCCACAGCTTGGCCAACTTTTATTTCCCCCCTGCCAAGTTTGAGCCAAGTTCACCATCTCGAATTCCACGAAACAAACACCCAAGACGATATACGATCTACGATCCACCCCCGTGGGAAAGCCGAACGGTGCTAATTGCACGTTCATATGTGATAAGGAGATATGCTTGGAGATGTCTCTAAGCAGAGCCGGATCTTGAGTCGAATTTGGGGGGTCTCGATATATTCCGCATACGACACATCAAGAACACAGCCGTCACCTGCAGGAGCACAATTCACTAGCCTGACTTACCGTCGGTGTCAATGGTGAATGTCATGGACCGAGGTCGGGTTTTACTTACATACAAATCTCCAAAACGGGGCTCTCATGTGTACATCCGAGTTTGTATAGTGTCAACCAACCGGCTCCTACCAATACACACGTCCAAGGAGGCTCTGCGACCATCCTTTCAACAGCCTCGCGGAAGGAAACCACTCAACAAACATCAAGTTTTTTGAACCACCTTGTATTCCCACGACATGCAAAGCAATTCGAGACAAGATCGAAAGTGCCCTGGAACGAGAGTAAAGATCGTCCGGGAGAACTTCCCGCCATCCCTAAAAGCATGGAACTTCATCAACGTGGATGATGAAACGCTGAGAAGGCTGCAAAGCGACTCGCCGTGACCAATATCTCGCGGGCACTTCGAGATGCCCAGGTTACCAGAATGATTGATATTGTTCGTCGCAAAGTTGCCACCAACCGGGCCATGCAAACTGCGGGCTCTAAACAAATTCGGGATCAGCCAAGAGGTTTCTAATATCCTAAAGGAAGCAGGTTTCGTATGTAAGCCGTGTACAAGCTAGCACCCTTACTAACCATAGAGCAGGACGAAGGAAACGTGAAATTCGGCTTGCTCTCGGCTACATTTCCTAAGCCCGCGTGCGATCTTGCAAAGACTTGCCTGGCTGCGTCCCACATCCGCTTCTGTGTCAGTCGTGCTAGTACCACTGGTGCTAACATCAGACAGGTCATCCTCCAGCCCCTAGGCTAAGTCTTATAACAAGCAATAGCTTTCCAGTAGCACCAGTGCCAACATTAGACAGGTCGTCCTCCGGGCTGAGTCTCATGATAAGCAAGAGCCTTTGGTAGTATGCAAGTTACATCAGCTACTGAACTCTAACGACAATAAACACAAAGAGCTACCTAGCTATACGCAAGGCAACCTCTTCCCCCTTTAACGTTTAACCAACCCGACACAACAAGTCGTCATCCGACGTACCAAGAGTCAGTTAATCAACCGCGGTTCTCTACCCTTCGCTGCACATTGCTAACTATCACAGTTGCTAAGAGTATTAGAGACCAACAAGCTACTCTACACACTGAGGGCACTGGTGAAATCCAAGACGCTCATAAAGCCGAGCATACCCCTGACAACACCGAGGGCCCCGAGACATTCAACTTCTTTCACCCGCCAGCTCCGCAACGCCCACCTGGATAGGGAAACAAGCCAGTTGCGTATAACCGAAGCTCGCATGGATTGCTAGCTAGACGCAAGCTCTGGTCGATGGCGATGCTCAGTGCAAGGTTCATCTCCAGAGGCGTGATCAAAGGGACATTCAAAGTCTTGCAAATCGTAGTTCTATGTCCTCAATTTATTCTAAAATATTATTAAAACCCTAAACGTCTTGGCCGTACATCTAAGTAAGCGTCGTATCCCTCCCTTCGTTCCACAATATTGTTGGAAATCCTAAACGTCTTGGACATGGATCTGGGTGAGTGCCGTATCCCTCTTGTTCGCATTTTCGAAGCGAATCTGCGGCACAAAAGCATAGCCCCTGAGCTTGGGTATTTGGTTAGCGTATCGATCCATATCTCAGGTCTTGAGGGCCAGCTGGTTCCTCAGTTCTGTGGAAAATTACCATCACAACCGCTTCTGAAGACCAGGATGTGATAGGAATAGGCCGACGATCTTTTCGGTACAGTGTTATAGTGGAAAGGTTATGGTCATGACCGATTGTGTCATTTCTGGCTAGAATCGAACTGAGAATTATAACCAGCCTGATACTCGAGACCCTGGCGCTGTCGTGGGTTATAAGCGGGCATATAACTTGTTGAGAAAACAGCTCCATGCTTGAGAGGTTGATCGACTCCGGACAGTTTATCCGTCCGGCAGGGTAGTGATTATGATCCTGTGCATCAGTCCATAGATGATAGTTCTGGGATGAGGGAGTCTTACAGACGCTTCTAGTATCAGAGGAGCAATAGACTTAGGAATACCCAGAAATACTCATGCCAGCCTGTCACCCTGATCGTTGTTCAAATCTGGTAGCTTAACAAGAATAAGAAGCTCGCGACTTTTCGGCCCAACCCTCACAGTGGCGGCAAGGCTGGTAGTAAGAGTGATTGAAGCTTGTGAAAAGCGACGAGCGAAACGGTGTTTCCTTGAATCGCAGTAACGGCCATGGCGATGATACTACGGAACTGGTGAGAAATTTGAGGATGTCCCTATCGTCGCACCTTCCCCTGTTCCCTTCGCGCTTTCACCTCTCTGTGGGCCGCACAACAGAACGGGCTCTTAGGCCAACTTCGACTTTTCACCAAATCCATTTGTATGGGGACATCTGGTAAGTCTATAACCATACAGTGGAGTAAGTGGCATACTGATCATTAGCCATGAGATATTGGAGTAGGGTAAAGATAGAGGGAATATGATAAGTGAGGCTCAAGAATAAATCGGACCATCCCGATTCGCGAACCGTCTCGACTATTAAATCATCCTGCTCTTTCGAATTCTCTTTTCCACACTCTTCATGTGGCTAGTACATCGGCTCGGTGTTGTGTAGATGTCCAACCTACAAGTCTTCTCTTTGACCAGGCATCCCAAAGAAACCATTCGATTATCAGAGGATGTGGCCCCCGATAGCCCAAGAGACGACCTAATATTTTCTTCCTATGATAGCTTAGACGGAGGCCCGGGCTACTTTGTCTTGACGCTCTAAGCCTCCGAGGACTTTCCTGCTACCCCCGGGGATTGTTGTTGGGTCAAAGGAGGCCCATCGAGAAGCTAAAGTGTCTTTTTCACCAACTACTGTTGAAATCCAGACAAGCTCATGGACAAGGCCAAGAGCCTCGTGGCATTTCATCCCTGGTTTAGTAGACAGCCGAGATTTCATGCATAATATCAGTTACAGTTGTCTCCAAGGATATGCCAAGTATTTGGCAACCACACTTTGATTTCTGAATTGTGAATGATCTACCAGGAGCAGGCAATAGTCCCTTAACTAATGTTAGTACTGGTGTTACTATGCTATTGCATTTTTGTATCTTTAGTATTCAACGTTAGATCTTAACAATAAATCTAAACAGTGAAGAAAGTGGCTGAATGTACTGCCGCAGCTGGTGCCCACACTGAATGTGGTGATTGTTAAGTAGACTATAGAGGGATAGTAACGATACCAGATCTACCCCCATGGGAACTCCAAACGGTGCTAATTGCACATCTATATCCGAGACGAGATAGAACGAGCAAGTACAAACAAGACTGCCAGGAAAACTATAAAGTTTACCACATGTTCACCAGCTGGTATGAGAACGGTCAAGCAAGAATGGACGATTCATCGAAAATATACTTTTATGTTCGATTCTATGTATGCGTTTCTATTCCAATAATCCAGCAGCGACGGTTTGGCCTCCACTGCGTATGACGACTCTTTGTCCGCGTTCAAGAGGAACCTTGGCAGCCAACTTGACAGCTACACGCGCAACACCACCCGGTTGAACAACTCTAGGCTTCTTCTTGACAACACCTCCAGTAACCTTGTCCAGTGTTGCTGCTATAGATACAATCTGCCCAGCCGAATGTAATCGTCCGCGATGCAGGTCCACAGGCATAGGCATCAGATGCTCGAAAGCCATAGCCTTCATGATGAAGTTATCACTGCAGTTGATGGGGTCCTTGGTGTGGCAGAGCATGTCGCCGACTCGAATGTGGATCGGATCGATGTTACTCAAAGCAACACTGACATTTTGTCCAGCGACAGCCCAGTCTTGCATATCCGAGTCCACCATGATTGACTTGACGTATGCTTCCTCCCCACTCGGTTGAACTAGCAGGGCATCGCCGATTTGAAAGGAACCTGCGTCAACCCGACCGGCGATGGTTGTGGTGCCAAGTTGCGATCTAAATACTTCCGAGATGGCCATCCTGAATGGACTTTTGAGTGCTCGCGCTGTTGTCGGCTCCGAGTTCTCCAAAGCTTCAATCAATGTTGGTCCAGTGTACCAAGATGCTGCAGTGGCCTCTGTTCGACGGGCAAGATTGTCACCGTTGAGGCCGGATATCGGAACGAAATCGACGTTCTTGGACGTGAATCCAAGACCAGTAAGGAAGCCACTGACTTGTTGAGAAATCTCATCATAACGCTCCTGTGACCAGCCGACCATGTCAAGCTTATTGACGGCAATAACGAGTCTCTGGACACCCAAACTTCGCAAGAGCAACACATGCTCTCGAGTCTGACCCTTCAAGCCCTTCTCGTAGGCTCCAGTGTTTGCATCAATAACCAAGATGGCAAAGTCGGCTTGGCTAGCACCTGCAATCATGTTTGGTACAAAATCGCGGTGGCCAGGTGCGTCCAGGACAGTAAAGCTGGTCTTCTCTGTCTCGAAGTGATTTGTTGCAATGTCAATGGTCACACCTCTTTCTCTCTCTTCACTCCTCTGGTCCATTACCCATGCCAGGGCAAAAGACTGCTTGCCAGACTTTTCAGCCTGCTTTCGATACCGATCAATAGTATGCTTCTCAACGAATTTGAGTTCCAATAATAATCGACCCATTAGGGTACTTTTTCCAGCGTCGACATGGCCTACACTTGTTATTAATGAACAAAGGAAAGGACGAACGAGGAAACATACCGACTACAACAAAACTGATACTTCTCTTATTGGAGCTGTTTTCGTACTCTTTGAGAACATCGAGCCCCTTGCTCTTAGGCGGCGGCGCATCAGCAATCTTGAGCTCGGAGACGTTCTTCTCAGCTTCAGAAACATCCTTCCCCTTCTCTTTCTGGGGCTTCTTGGGGGCCTTGGCTGCTGGTTGTTTGCCCGCTGAATGGAATTAGATTAGTTCATTTCGTCCTTGCAAAATTCGAACCTTTCGCCTGAGCTGCTAGCACAACATCGTCTGGACTTGGCTCGGCGAAAGCTTGTGCGGCAAAAATTGAAGAAGAAGTGTAAGGCATGGCAAAAACATCGGGCCTCTGGGATTTGGCCGGAGCAGATCCAAAAAGCGTCTGAGCAAAGGCGGAAGGTTTAGCTTGAGACACAACCTCAACTTCTGGAAACCCGTCCAATAGGAATGGATCTTTGTATCCAGAAGCTGTATCTTCCTGCTTTTTGTCTTCCACGATAGGCTTATGGTCTATTGTCGTTTCTTGTTGTGAAGCGAAGTCCTGCGATGTGGCTGGCGGAGCTTGACGTCTCTGGCTGGGGGGCGCCCGGTTCTCCTTTCCTGACTCAGCAATAGAAAGGTTGCTGACGTCCTTGGTGACCTTTTCCTGCTCCTTCTTCTCTTCGGTCCTCTTCTTCCTAGCAGCAGCGAGAGCCTGAAGCTTTGACATCTTGGGACCTTCGCCTCCTCCTAGCAAGCCTCCACGAGGGCGCTCAGGTTCGATGAAGAGAGTTTGACGTTCCTGAGGCACGTTCAACCATGGCATGTCGCTGAAGAAAGTCGCAGAAACTTTGTTGGCAGGTGGAAGGCTCATGTCGGAAGTATATTCGCTTGACAGACGCCCATGGTCTGCTCCAGTTCCCGTAAGGCGCTGCGAAGCAGAAAAAAACACTGACATACCTTCTGGTGCTTTCTTTGCTGGCTTAGGTGCCGGGGCAATAAATGTCTTCATCAGATACGTAACTGATTTGTCGATATCGTAATAATAATGCCACAAAGCTTCTTCGATTTGTGTTTTTGTGACTTTGTTCGCTTCGGTTCCCAGAACTCTTCGAACTTCTGCGGTTCCTTCGTCCATCGCTTGACGATCTTCTGGACTGAGCTCTTCCTCCCCTTCCTCCTCGTAGTCATCGCCGTCAAATTCAGATACGATATCGTTCGCATCAAACGTGTGGACAATGCGATGGCGAGACATGTTGTCTTATTTGGTAAGGCTGAAGTATTATTCGGAGATACAATGTGGGTGCGAGTGTGTGCGATTCGGTCTTGAGATATGAGATATGAGTGATGAGAAAAGATGGAGACTGAGAACGGAGGGGATCTCACAGATTATATAGTCATAGGGGAGAGAGTTTGAGTTGTCGTGACTGCACAATCCGAAGTTAGGTGATCTCAAAGTTTGGGTAGGTTTGGGTATGGTTTCTGTGCCTGAGGTAGGTATCCAAAGTATGACTGTCTTTAGGTAATGATGCTTCGACGGTTTGGCGGGGTCCTCGTTAGTGGGGTATGAAGTCACGACGCCCAAGGCGCTGACCGACCTTACCTGACCTGAGGCGCTGAGGCCTAGTTAGGTGGCGGGGTTCAAAGGCCCCTGGATTCCATCGGAACATCTCTGACCCGCCCCGCCCGTGAATCGGTGAAGGCACCCAAATCTTCAAAAAATTGGGTGGGAGGATTAGATTGGATCGATCAAGAAACCGATAGAAGCTCCAGACTGCCACCAATTTTCGAGGGGACTTTTCGATACCGCTGTAAACACCAGAACACTTACGGTCACAGCTCCCCGAGGGTGGAAAAGTCTTAGCCAACATGGATTCCTTGAGTGAGTCCCGCACACTTTTGTCAACGAGGGGCGAGGGGTAGCTAACTAGGGGACAGATTTGGACATGAACAACGGTATTTACGACGACATGCCATGATGATGGTTCCCTGCTAACAATCGCAGCGGCGGTGATGAAGGATGAGCAAGGCCGTCCTTTCATCGTTGTTCGAGAGTATGTTTATCATCATGCCGACCCTCACCGTCGATTCGAATTACCTAACATCTTTCAGTCAGGGGAAGAAGAAGCGCCAGTTTGGTAACGAAGCCGTCAAGTCGCACATTCTCGCCGCTCGAACCGTCGCAAATATCGTCAAGTCGTCTCTCGGTCCCCGCGGACTCGACAAGATCCTTATCTCCCCCGATGGAGACATCACCGTGACGAACGATGGCGCTACTATCCTGCAGCAGATGGAGATCACCAACCACGTTGCTAAGCTACTAGTCGAACTCTCCAAGTCTCAGGACGACGAGATTGGTGATGGTACTACCGGTGTTGTTGTTCTCGCTGGTGCTCTGCTAGAGCAGGCCGCCGATCTTATCGACAAGGGAATTCACCCCATCCGAATTGCCGACGGTTACGACCAAGCTTGCGATATCGCCGTTGCCGAGCTTGACAAGATTTCAGACACTATCGAGTTCTCGAAAGAGGAGACATCCAACCTTGTCAAGGTCGCCCGAACAAGTTTGGGCAGCAAGATTGTTTCCAAGTCCCACGACCAGTTTGCCAACATTGCCGTTGACGCCGTTCTATCCGTTGCCGACCTCGAGCGAAAGGATGTCGATTTCGAGCTGATCAAGGTTGACGGAAAGGTTGGAGGAGCTCTCGAGGATACCCTCCTTGTCAAGGGTGTTATTGTCGACAAGGACTTTTCTCACCCCCAGATGCCTTCAGAAGTCCGCGATGCCAAGATTGCCATCCTGACCTGCGCTTTCGAGCCCCCCAAGCCTAAGACCAAGCACCACCTCGATATCACCAGCGTTGAGGAGTTCAAGAAGTTGCAAAACTACGAAAAGGAGAAGTTTATCGAGATGATTCAGCAGATCAAGGATACAGGTGCCAACTTGGCTATCTGCCAGTGGGGTTTCGACGATGAGGCCAACCATCTCCTCCTCCAGAACGAGCTACCAGCTGTCCGATGGGTCGGTGGACCTGAGATTGAGCTGATTGCTATTGCCACCAACGGCCGAATAGTTCCCAGATTCGAGGATCTCTCCGCAGAGAAGTTGGGTACTGCCGGTGTTGTCCGAGAGATGTCCTTCGGTACAACAAGAGAGAAGATGCTTGTCATTGAGGAGTGCGCCAACACCCGAGCTGTCACAGTCTTTGTCCGAGGTAGCAACAAGATGGTGAGTCTCATTTATGTGTTTAATTAGAATACTGCTAACATATCCAGATTATCGATGAGGCTAAGCGATCTCTGCACGACGCTCTTTGCGTGGTGCGAAACCTTGTCCGTGATAACCGTGTTGTCTACGGTGGTGGTGCCGCTGAGATTGCCTGCTCTCTGGCTGTCGAGGACGAGGCTGTCAAGACCCCTGGTCTTGAGCAGTACGCCATGCGTGCCTTCTCCGAGGCTCTTGATACCGTCCCCATGACCCTGGCTGAGAACAGTGGTCTCAACCCTATCGCTACTCTTGCTGAGGTCAAGAGTCAGCAGGTTAAGGCTGGTCCTGAGGGCCGTGGCAAGCTTGGTGTCGACTGCATGGGACGTGGTGACAACAACATGAAGGACGCATTTGTTATCGACCCTCTTATCGGCAAGAAGCAGCAGCTCCAGCTTGCCACACAATTATGTCGTATGGTCCTTAAGGTCAACAACGTTATTGTGTCGGGAGCGGATGACAACGACTTTTAGAGTAAGATAGATGGGCAATGAACAAATGCATGCTTATCAATCTTGTCATGATTAAGATTTGGTTATGCAGGTAGATGATATCCATGTATGTATAATCAAAAGTGCTGTATATTCCGCATACCTTTTCATTCACTTAATGTCTGCATGATACATTGGGTTTATTATGATACTGGAATGTGATTGGGTGATGATCCTTCAATGAATCTGACAGGGATGGGAGGAATTGCACTCCTTTGGCCTACCTGCATTCATCCTTTGCATTGTACATACCTACCTATCCAACACAGTGAAGATATTCGCATCCTGGATTCTATTTGCTTATATAAAACCGGACTTTCCTGCTTCTCAATGCAACCCGCTGAGGCTACTTCATCAACTTCGCCAAGGTTGCTGCCTGATACCGATACATCAACAGCTATAATTAAACGACGGCCCATTCCTCGGAAAGGCCATACAAAATCCCGAGCAGGCTGCTCCAGCTGTAAGAGAAGAAGAGTGAAATGCGACTTGATTACCCCAGAATGCGGTGCTTGTCATCGACTAGGCCTCGAGTGCCAGTATCTGAATAAGCTTGGTGGTCAAAATAAGCCAGGTGATCAAACCTCAACAACTTCTATCTCAAAGCCATTGCGAAGTGACTTAGTCATGTTCGACATAAACGACCTTAACTTCTTTCGACATTTTCTATTTGAGGCGTATCCTCCTCTACCTATCGATGGGTTCACCGTATGGCAGCAGGCTTCACAGCTTTCACACGAGGTGAGTTTGTCAAGAAGTGCAAAGATGGTTTGACTAACAGGCTACTCAGTACGATTTCTTATTGCACTCAATGTTAGGCCTTGGAGCTTCTCATCTAGGAATGTTAACACCATCGGGATACGAAAAGGCTGCATTGAAACATCGAGTCACTGCCATCAGTGCACTGAACAAGCATCTGACGAAGACTCATTTTACACAACAAGACGCTGAAGCAGCTTTTGGCGCTATGCTGAACTTGACGTTTCAATCAGCTTACATGAGTGATGGACTTATTGATTTCCTCACAATGGTTCGAGGCTGTTGGCTCGTCGGCACACAACCCTCCGTGGACCTAGATCACACGATCTTCAAAACATTTGGAAGATTGAGCTATCTCGAGAAGATCAAAGCTATTGTGCACGAAGACGACCGGTCAAATCACTATTTAGACAAGGTCATTGCTGAGGGATTCTGTCAGAGTGTACAGAAACTGGGACCGCTATGTCATAGTGTTGGAGAGTTGCAGTATCTTGCACAAATGCAAAGAATTGCAACTCTAGCGTCTACCAATCCTGCCGAAAGTGAGAATATCAGGATTTGCTGAGTTGTATGCGCACTGACATGATTTCCAGGCTACCGTGAGCTCGCGTTCCTCTATGATGGACTTGGTCATCTCAACACCGCCGATTTCACTTCCTTCATCGATACCAAGAACTACGCTTCCCAACTTGTCATCATGCACATGCTCGTTTTAGAATTCGTCATGAGTCGCAAAGCAGTGGAGGGTGACAAGAGGTCTTCCATGGGCCAGAAAGGCTACTACTGCAGAAAAGCCATGTCTAAGGTCTGGGTTCAGAAGATTCTAAGCAAACTTCCTCAGGAGTATTACGAGTACGGAGAGTGGCCATTGAGATTCATCAATAGTCTGAATTACTCGTTTGATGATGAAGACCAGGTTTGGAAGCCTTTCATGTTGAGCAGTGGTACAGCTATCTTACCCGAGGAAGATACGCTGTCTTTGGCCATGCGGTAGATCCGTCAAGTTCATATTCATATCTCAGATCAAAAGTCTTACGTAACAGGTGTAGTATTGGAGCCAGACAACAAATTTAGCAAATTTATCTAATTATCCATATATCAATTGCCCAATCTATGACCTAAGCAGCCTGGTAGCCCATGCCATCTTGAAATCATCTTAGCATCCCCTCAGCAGACGATAGCACTACTTCCGTCGTTCAGCCAGTCCCACACTTTCTTCTGGCTGAACAACCTTGAATCGAGCCCCATGTTTACCCAAGTACTTGCTGGGATGATAGATGCAGAAGATCCCGATGGCACCGACCATAGGTAAACTCTCGAAAACCCAAAAGAGCCACTCATGGCTGAATGCATAAGAATCTCTGCCGCCAGCAAACTCGATAACTCGAAAGATACAACGGGTCTGCTTAGTCAGTATATGTCTTTGCCATTGATGACACAGGGGCTTACCATGATCAAGATACTAGAAATGTATACTGCAAGAACCACCTTTTGCCAACCTTTGGGTGCGCTATCGACAGCCATACGACCTGCAAGAACATGGAATCGCCTGAAAACACAGAGGAATAGAGTGAAGGCGACGAGTTGGAACGATAAACCAGCTATGAGCACCTTGACTCCGATTCTTTCCATCTCCCCCTTCCAGTTATCAGAGCTCGCAATTCCAGAGCCGCTACCCTGGACAAGGAACGCAACAATGTCACATCCAACGAAAATTGGTGTCAGGCGTCGGCCTGGAATCTTGAGGATTCGATGACGAGATAGAGGAAGAACAGCGAGGATGAGACGGCTGATGAGGAGGTAGTTCCCTGCTGCTATAAGAACAGGAGCAAGAACAGTGTAAGTCAGTGTCATAACGAAGGGTGTCTACATTATTAGTTGGAGGCCCAGGAGGCAATAGAGGAGTTACTTACTATCTCGGACTGGTTCTGGACAGAATGTATCCTAAGGTTATAGGCGGCAACCTCAACGGCTGAGCCTACAACGACAACGATAAAGAACCAAGCTCGATATTTGATAAGAGTCTGGTAGGCAAGGATGAGAAAGATGATGCCGTAGACTACAGTCCCGACTACAGCAAGGGGAAAGGATGGATCATACATCCAGATGGACACTTGATCAGCCATTTTGTTGTTCGACAGTAGGCAGTAATGAGAATAGTGGTTTATTGACTTGATCTGCTTGAGATTCTTCATCATCATCATCATCATCATCATCTACTATCTTCTATATACTTATTTTGAGATATAAAGACTACGCAATTCATCGCTTCTGAAAGCGATGAATACGTTGCCAAGCATAAAGATTTCCTTAATAGGTAGTTGTGGAATGTTGGATGCTTATCCTAGAAGCATGGGAGATTGTGGTTGGCTGTTGAGTCTCTCGTTAGTTGCGTGGCCCTGGATCTGAAAGCGATGAATGCGAGCTCACCAAAGACCATGTATAAGCAGTCTCAAGAAAGCCGAAACATGAAGGCTATCTCATTAAACAGAAGACCATGTTATTGTCCTCGTCAGCTCCTTCTCAGATGATCCACAATATGACCTTGTCCAAGTTAGATGTCATCACCATGTGAGAACCAAGAAGACAACCCAGTAGCCACAACACTAAAAAAGACCCTGATTTTAGCGGCATCTACTATTCTTAGGCATCAAAGACAAAACCTAGGCTACCCCCAAGACAGGACCTCAGTTCGGCAAAAAGGATCGGCGCAAGAAGAAAGACATCCGGAGCCCAGACTCACGCGATGAAGGTATTCACATGAACATTGCACGGTCGTTGAGCTCTTGGCCTTGTTGTTTATTGCCTCAAAACAAATCTGGCATGCACACATGATGCTGTCTCCGATATTGACAGCTGTGGCCATTTCTCATGATCGCAAGGCGTGTGAGACAGCATTACTAGTATAAGCGCTGGTTCTGGTTCTTGGGTCTTTAGAATGTCTCGGACCCTGACTTGGCATAATTCGGTTCTTGGGTCATGTCAGGGCAATTGAGGCAGATGATTGGGGTCGGTTGACTAGGGCCGCCAATATGGCAAGGTGTTGCGGCGATTTTCACAGAAGCGTGACCTTTTGGTCACGCAAAGAAGAATATTTTTTAATGATTCAAATTAAACGATTGGATGTTTATTTTCCCCGGAATGTTTCAGATAATGAGATGGATAGAGACAATAATTTAGGCTATCGACCTAGAAGGTAGTGATTCTATCCTCGGTTTGTTCGGTATCACCAGCAAAGCCTCAGCAGGCAGGCTTCCATGTCTTATGCCGCACAACACTGCCACCAGCCGCATTTCATTCTATTGGATCGCATATTCTCTGGTCAAATTTTACCGCTTGAAATTGATGAATGACTGACCGTCAGCGGAGATGTTTGTACTGTATTTGTGTCCCCCCAAAGCGCCTTGACCGATCTTCTCATTCTCAGTTTGAGGATGACTACAGTCAATCTCGTCGTGAGAAGTGACTGAAAGGCTGCACTTGCGGTTGCAGTTGCCACTGAGGGGGGTATTCATGTGAGTCAGTTTGGATGAGGGTTCGCTTCACCTTGCGGTATGCTGCAGTACAATATGTTGAGGTTTGATGCAATGCAGATGGCGTGCATCCATGTAAACGTGGGGTTATAGACGGTGATTAATTAGGAAAGACCAAATATTGATTTAATAGTATTTGAATACAAGAGAATATTTATTTATTTAATAGAATGAATGAATATGTGCATTACTATCTTGTATATAGTAAGTAGTTTACTTAGGATGATTAATAGCTATAGATACTATCTAACAAAGAAATCGTGATAGTAAGTACGGGCTATTAATAAACATCAACAGACATACCGTTTCAACTACAATATCAATCAAATAAATGTAGATAAAACAGCCAATGAATAATAGTCTCTGAATAAATAAAATACAAAACGGTCAACAATACGGCAACAGTAATAATTCACCTACAGACCGGGTTTCCGGGCCTCACCGCCCACCGTGGCCACTGTAACAGGCCTATTTCCCCGGTCATCTGCCTTTAATTTGCTGAGTTGTTCAACCCATCATGACAATAAAATGCACACTCCCATCCCACCACCAGCGAAATCCATCTTCAAAGAGCCCCGGACCTAGTTCCTGTCAACTAATGTAATAGTGACCCTCACCTATAGTCTCTAGTCTATACCATCTAAAAGTCCTTGGACTCCTTCCCCGGGGCTTACATGAGACATCCGCCATCTCTCACCGGATCTTCTAAACTGGCATCCATACATACAAGACAAAACAAAACAAGCCATCTTCAGTACTGTCTGTACCTTGTGTTTGTCTATCACGAGCTAGTAAATGTCCCCCTCATTCATGCAAACATCCGCTTTCTGAAGCAGGAAAAAGAAATTCCACAAAGAAACACTTGCACTACCATCTTCATTTCTCTATCCCTATCAAAATGCTGGTTCATGGCTTGCTTTGTCCTACATGCGATGCTATGCGATGCGCTGCGACGTAATGACCAAGCCATCAAGGATCCTGTCAAGTGTCATTGTCGATGAAAGAATCTAGTTATCATTCACATGGATATTTCAGTACTCTTCTCTACTATTGTTTGCTCCTCATCAGATCAAAAATCAAGTTTGGCTGACTGATTGCTTGTTTTTCTTCTGGTGCCACGACATCACCGTCTCGTATTGTGATAGACACCATGTTTATCACATTTAATACCTGATTGCCTGTCGTCTGATTGATTTTCAGGCTTTGCGTCTGCTCATTCTCAAAATTATCGGGCAGCATTAAACCACCACCCAATGAATTAAATCGTACCATGGCCAAGAATTCAGCAGACCTTGGACCGAGTATCTACTGACTGACTGTGTTCTGTCACTAATAGACTTGTGATAGGTCTCAGCCACGACGTACAGCACAGATACACTTGCGACTTTAGCCTAAACCCCCATGTTCTCTACCTTTATGCCTCGAGACCTTGTCCTTGACCTTTCTTTCAGCTCTGATACAGCTATTCTTCAAGTTAAGTTACGTATCGCTCACCGACGTCGATCTGTCAGCCACAGGCCCGTGACTGTTCCCAAAGTGGCATGTTTTCTCATCTCTCATCTCTCAGTTCGATCTTGGTACTGCACTCTAAGGTAGTCTTTTACAGTAGGGGACCATGACTTCCAATGATCTTGTGGCATCTCCTCACGAGAGACAAATAATCCATACGGGCCCTTTTCCGGCGGCGGCTTCATGCATCGAGTCACCGTTCCCCGTCTGCAGCCGCAAATGCAACTGCAAGCAGAGAGGCCAAAGAAACAAGCAAACTCGATCGTCAAGACGGGTGTGACGGCAGCCGATAGTTTACCCTCGTCTTTGATGTGAGACAAGAGCATTGATAATACCGACAGCAACTGTAGCAGCCGCTCATCACCTTTTGTCGAGTCCAGTCATTCATGAACTGATGAATTACCCCGGCTTATGTGATTGTCGTCCTCGTGAACCGTCTTGTGCTGCCAACTTGTCTAATGCCCAAGTGTTACTGTACTGTAGGTACAAATACAGGTGGCTGGCTTCTGATAGTCGTAGACCATCTACAAAGGGTGTATGTAGTTGACCCCTCGCGAAATGCCCCTGAAATAGACACGGCTTGGCTTGACTTGGCTTTGTTCGATGGTGGTAGATCGTGGGGGGAGAATTGACTGGTGTGTAGTATAAATGGATGTGTTTTCTTTGTTCTTGACGGTACTACCCTGGACAGATTGCATTGGGCAACCGTATTAAATCCAGGAAAACATCCAATCACTTATATGTAAATTTGATAATATTTTACAATTTCTAATTGGGGTTTCGAATTAGTTTTCGTCTTACAACTGGTTGGAACTGACTTAGCTCTTATGGTCAAGTCATCTCAGTTAAGTGAGGCAAGGTTTTAGAGCAACCACAACATACACGACTTAATTCTAATTGACTCATCGTGACGAAACCCTTATATGGATTATGAGTCGAATTTAGGTAAATTGTCAAATAACAAATGGAAGGCATTGGACTACCTGAAACGACTTCTTCTCAATAGGCAATGACGCGCTGTGAGTCACTCTCCAATTCGGGTTAACAGCTTCTATTTTCTGCTCACGTAAGGAACGATTCCAGCCTGTGGAGAAGCTCGCCACTCCAACATGAACATCACGATAAATACCAGGCATCAACTTCTCGCTACTTCTACCAGAAAAATCATCAATTCGTGACAAAGAGCCAGTATTTTGAGGCCACATAATTTCACCCGTCCATCTGCATTTGCGCGGCGTTTGGGATTCATTTTCACGTCATTCGCTCTACTCCAACCACCAAAATACCACTATCAAGCACCCAGCAACAGCCCACTAAAAACGTCATGATCTCTACAAATTCAAAACCAGATTCACCCCAGTCCAGGAAACAGGCCGTGGCTGAAGCCTCGTCGTCTCGAGTTGTCCCAAAGCCTGTGCCAGAGTCGCAGGCCCAGGATCCCAGGACATATCAGATTGACCAGCTGCGGCGACGTTATTCGCCCAAGGAGACCACCGCACCAGATGGTACAACTTCACTGCTGTTCAAAATCAAGCCCTCGGATCCAGACTTTCCATTCGAGTTGGCCGCTCTCGAGTGCGATATCCGTGTTCCGCAAGCGTACCCGGATGAGAAGCCGGTGTTGCATGTAAAGAACAAGGACATCCCGAGGGGTTTCGGTATCAACATCGAGAGAGGATGGGATGGACTCGTCGAGCAGAGGCCCGACGCTACGTTGCTCGCTCACACGCGAGAGTTGGACAAGAACCTGGAAAGGTTTCTGTCTGAGCAAAAGGCCGAGACAGTCAAGCTCGTGACTTTTAAGGACACGAGGCATGTGGAGGCACAAAAGGCTCAGAGTCAGACTGAGACTCAGACACAGGAGCTAGCGCAGCCCAAGCAAGTGTCTGAGCCAGCTCCGTCAAAACCTGCTCCGGCGCCTTTCAAGTACGTTCCAGAACCGTCGTACACGAAAGACGAAATCGCCGCTGCGAAAGAGAGGAGAGCTCTTGAGATTCGCCAGCTCGAGGCGCGCATGAAGAGAACACCTGAGTATCGACGCTCACCCGATGGTGTAGTGTATACTCTACCGCTAGAACCCCAGAAACGCGCTCAGCTTCCACCAGGACTGCAATCTGTCAGGAGTCTTCATCTCATCATTCCTTTGCTTTATCCTCTGCAGAATCTCCGTGTCCAGCTCAACAATGTTGAGCCTGAAGATGCGGAACCAGTGGAGGAACTCTTCTACGAGAAATCTGCGGAACAGCAGCATATGTCTCTCATGAGCCACATAAACTACCTCGCACAGAACATCCACAAGCTCGCCAAGCAAGCACAGGCCCAGGCACCCAAGGTCGAGTCACCTGCCCCAGTGCCTGAAGATCAGTCTCAAGACGACACAAAGGCACCTGAGCCGAAGTCCGAGAATAGCCATATTCAGGTGATTCCACGACCTCCTGAGTGGGGTTATGCTGCTGGAGACGATGAGGAGAGCTCTAGTTCTGACGAAACTGATGAAGGTGGTGCTGTGTTGGAAAGCGAAGAGAAGGAACCGCAGGTTTACATGCCAGGTGAAACCCCTGAGCGTGGCACCATGTTGTCATTCCCTTCGATTGAGTTGCACGGTATTGAGCTCCTACAGCTTTCTCTCTTGAGCATCAGCGTCAAGTGCGAGCGATGCAAGACAGTAAACGAAGTCATGAGCTTGAAGCCCGATGTCGAGAAGACGACGAGCTGCAAGAAGTGTGCTACAGGGTTCTCCGTCAAGTTTCGACAGACACTTATTCACGAGAATTCTACACGGGCTGGCTTCCTTGATCTGGCAGGATGCAAAGTGGCAGACATGCTTCCTAGCACGTTTGTTCCAACTTGCGAGAGATGTTCTACCCCGGCTCAGGGCCTTGTCTCAGTACGAGGCTCTTCCGTGACAAATGTCTGCCGAGACTGTCATGGCCACTTTACCTTTAAAATCCCCGAAGTCAAGTTCTTGTTTATCACCCCTGGCTCTCGTCCTCCGCCCACTGCAGGCCCTCGTCGGAAAGAAGAGAAGCTTGGCCTCCATGCGGGAGACCAACTGCCCGACAAGGGTGCATGCGCGCACTACAAAAAGTCGTACCGTTGGTTCCGCTTCTCATGCTGTAGCCGCGTACATCCCTGCGACAAGTGCCATGACAGCCAGGAAGACCATATCAATGAATGGGCCAACCGCATCATCTGCGGCTGGTGTAGCCGCGAGCAGAACTACTCGTCGGCTGTCGAGGCGTGTAGATTCTGCGGTCGGTATCTGATAGGTAAAAAGGGAAGAGGATTCTGGGAGGGTGGAAAGGGTACCAGAGACAGGAGGATGATGAGTCGAAAAGACCCGAGAAAGTACAAGAGGATTGGTGGTTCTGCAGCCAAGGAGAAGTAAACTTGGCGGAGTCTTTGTCACAGCTGAGAAGCGCCAGGCTGAAGGCTCATAGTACAGTGATTACAGTACAATATAGTTACGAAAGAATCGCTTGCTGTCAGCTTGAATGTAACCCCAGATCAGCTGAACCAACATTGTCCGTCGCCACTGGCTCTTGTGTCCTCCCAGCGGTTACGAGCCGCCAGACGTGCTATACTACTCTGTACTCACCATTAAATACCTGCAACCACTACAGATAACAGAAGGATGGTTTCTCAAGAAGCACACAATCTTGGGACATGTGAAACGTGGATCAGTGGGGGTCATTCTCGCCCACTCTGTACGATCTCCTGATTCTATTCCCGTCAGTATCTCGCTGTAGACGCGATATGATTTGAAGACGGAGGTTCGTAACGGAGTGCCACATTGAGTTACAAGGCGTTTTGTGAGTGTGTGTGGGAGTATCTGGCGGCGATTGATGTGATGGGGTTCAGATAAGTATTCACGAATGAACAATTAGGATACTAATTATTTAAAAGAGAGAATTATATGATTGAATGGGACTTTGTTACATTTAACGGTAATGGTGGTATCATGATTATTGTAAGCGTGGATGGTTGGTGTTGATGAATACCTAGTTACGAATTCGTGATCGAGATGGACGTAATCAAGGACTTTTACACTTGAGTCGTAAACGAATAAAGTGAGATAATGCGATGCGATGGTTCCCTAAGTGCATGTCTATCCCTGCAGCCCTGATGATGGATTTTTATAGACATTCTGGTATGAATGTTGACTGGATGACAACGCTATATCAGCATCATCTTGCATGCAATATATGACAACGCACTGTTGAGCCAAGATAAAGAAATGTTGGGAAGCTCTGGAGACGTGTAATTTCTATCATAATTCTTCATCGCACATGGTTACTATGGGGTTTGGGAAGCTTGTAGAACAACCTTTGGCGATGAGCTGACCCCTACGACAACATACGGATCGTGGCTGTCATGTCATGTGAAGCCTCAAAATAGAAGCGAACCGACAGAAATACCGCAAAGATTCAGCGACATCGGATGGGATTTGTCGTGAGAGCAAAAAGCAGGTGATCAAATGAATGCGATGTCGGGCACGGGATGATCGGGAACAAGGTTGAAGACGTGGGATGTGATCAGATCCTTCGATAAGCAAGATAACAGGCCATAATATTCGGAGATGTATTATTCTAATTGTCTACAAGAGTGAGGTGATCATTGGGGGTGTATAAGACCTAGAGTATGCAGGTACGGCACCTAGGATAGTCAAAGCCCCAATCACCAGCAATATATTGTGCACATGAAATGTGACGTGCCTTTGCCTTCCGTGCCGTTCGACCTGAAGCCATCGTCAAACAAGCGATTCAATAGGACCTTTGACCTGTCATGGCGTATTAACTTACCCCACACTCTCTTTAACTTTAGACCAGGGGGGATGCGGATGGACCCTTGTTGTAGCATCACAAGATTCATAGAGTTTCGCCCCCTTTATCAACTAGAAACGTGACATTTGTTGGTTCCTGATTGATTCCTTTGTCTGAAACTTGAATACTGAGTAATGAGAATGGGAACCTGAATTAGGAGGCGTTTGGATCGACGGACAGACGCGCCACGGACCGTCAGCCGTCCATCACGGGACCTAATTGTGGCTGGACAGGGGATAGTTCCGAGCTATGTTTGCTAGTTTACTAGAACCAACTGGTAGTTGTATTTGTATTGTTTGAAGCTTGAAAGAGTCATGTCAGTGCTTGGTTGAGTTTGGGGCTGAAAGAAAGGTGCAGAGTAGACACAGTGAATGATGGACGCCCAACCTACACCACAACTCAACTCTGTGCTCTGTCGCTAAACATTCCATACTCGTCCACCGAGGAGTTGACACCTTAGAAGACAATCAAGGCATGAAACGACTAAAGATAGAGACATCTCGGTCAATCTAGTTAGTCAATTAATTAATAGACGTTAGCTTATCACAACCCTCAAACAACGGCGCCCCCGAAAGACCAGACACCTTTGACAGCGACACGTGCGCCTTGACCCTCTTCCCAGACAATTCCGCGATTCATCTCATGCCATCTGATCTGAAAAGCCCATGTCACGAACAAACAAAACCCGACTCATGGAAGTCAAACCCCCCCGCGGGATGTCTTCCGGTGTCCGGGATAACCCCTGAAATGTGACCTACAAGGGGGTTTCAGTTGCCCTTCTAGAAGGTCAAAGCCTGGATGAGACTGAACCTTTGTTTTATCAATTGATGCCCGGTCATTTTATTTTAATTTAATAGGAACAGGAATGAATAATAATTGGTTCAATATTTGTTTGTCGATCGAAACGGTGGTTGACGATGGTTATTCCCTAAACAGTCACCGTTTATTGTGTCTATTGACTGTACTTGAAGTAAAGTCGAGACATCAACTACATGCGATAACACATGAGACTATTCAACTGACTTGCCTTCCTGACGGTGGTTAAAACACATTGACTGCATGGTGCCTTCCATATTAGCAAACGGTAGAATGTGATAAGGAAGGTGGAACCTTGGTCGACATCTACCATTTCTACCGTTTCGACAGTATTCAAACAAACACCAAATATTTAGATAAAAAATGAATTTATTGATTAAATAAAATAAAAATAAAAATCGCACCCCCGAAGGATCAGGCTAAATCCTTCACCCCAGCCAAAGTTGATATCTTCTCGCCTCCCTCATCTGATGATATTGCCGAGCTGCATACAAAAAGAACCCGGGACTCTTGACCCATGATCCCCGCTCAGCTAAACCATCACCTTTAGGTATCATCGGGAGACAAAACCCGCAAACCCGTTCAGATCGACCCCCTCGGCCAGCAAAGGCAATGCAATGCGAAAGCAATGCGAAAGCTTGATAGGCAATAGGCGAGTGCCTAAATGCTTCACCTGATACCCGACAATGGATCTTTCCAATCTCGTTTACTCGGCAAAAGAGATACGACAAAGGAACAGGACAGGGTAGAGAGGACAAGACAGGGCAGGGCAGGGCTGCAACAGAGGCGTGGGCGATCGACGGGACTCATCTCGAACCCTTGGCTCGGTTCTGGGTTTGGCAACGGTTCCCGCAGTCCTGGGACGAAATCCCTTCAATTGCTCGCTTGCTTAAGCTTGAGGCAAGGGACTTCAATCGGGCATCGTTGGACCGAAACACCACCGGCCTACTTCTTCGGGGTAATTAAATCAAAAGCAAGTACGTCCGAACATAGCTCTAGGGGCTATCGGACTGCTCAAGGCTCGCCTTTCGTCTCAGACATGGCCTCAACCATAGCCAGACCTGGCCTGCCACTGACTGCTTGAGCTTGCATTCCGGGCCAGGTTCCACCTTCTCTTGCTCTAGGTCCAGTTCTTTGCCCTTGCCCTTCTCGTCGGGAACCGTGTCTCTGGGCAGTCTAGGGGACCTTGCGAAAATAGCGAGGATCAAACCTAGACTGGCCATGATGCTGCCTGCCGTCCAGACCTTCTTGAGAGATGCCGCTACAGCCATGCTCATGAATCTGCTATGGGCGGCCTGGTTCTCCATAGAGGCTCTCATAAGCTGTATAGCATCGTTGACTGGAACCTTGATAAGTCCAACACTATTCAGCTCCTTGGCTAGCTGAGTCGAGAAGATGGACATGCCAACAGCGATACCCAGACATTGACCCAAGGTACGCAGGACAACGATCATGGCCATGCCATGGCCGGCATCTTGTTTTTCGCAAGTGGCCGAAACACCAATGGAGTTGGTTGGGAGAAGGAGACCCATAGCAGTACCAAGGAACATGACAAGAACCAAGATAGTTCCAGTTGACGAGTCTCTATCTAGGATTGTCAGGACCCCAAAGATGGCCACCAGAAGAGTCCAGCCGCCAACCAGGAACCCTTGATATCTTCCTGTCTTTGATGTTACCAGTCCTACCAATGCCGCCATAGGAGCAACAGTAAGTGTTGCTGGCAAGGCCCAGACTCCTGTCATCAGAGGGGTTTTGTACTTGACGCCCATGTAATACACAGCCAGATAGTATAGCACCATCCACAGGAGGAGACCGTGTAGCACCGCCATGGCAAGATGACAGATGGTTGATGGACTCCGGAAAAGACTTTTTCGGAACATTGGCCTCTCGATCTTCTTCTCATATAGTATAAGAGAAATGAAAGACAAGATGCAAATAGCGAAAGGGACGATAGTTGCCGCTGATATCCAGGGGTAAACAGAGCCACCCCAACTCAATGGCAGCACCAAGCAGACAGAAGAAGCGATGTAGAGAAAGGCGCCGCCCCAATCAAAGTTCTTGATGTCCCTAAAGTTGCGATGATGCTTATCGTATCCCATGAGGGCCCAACTTCCCGCAAAACTCAACACAAGGAAAGGAAGAGTGCCCCAGTAGATGTATCGCTATTGTCCTCAATCAGCATGCTTGTATCCAAATACAATATCAGGGGTTGCCTACCCAAGCAGAGTCCTTGGTCTGAACGATAGCACCTCCGACAAGAGGACCAGAAACAGTTCCCAGAGCCCAGAACATGTTCTGGTACGCAAAAGATCCAAAACGCTTGCGCGCAGTGTACAAGTCCGCCGTCACCAGATTCGATAATGCCACAGGCCCCCCAGATCCAAAACCCTGGGTAGTGCGACCGGCAAGAAGCATCCCAGCATTCTTGGCAAAACACGAGAGGAGGGATCCGGTTATGAACAAGGCCAAGGCAAAGAGGTAGGCTGGTCTCCGGCCAAAAACGTGGGCCGCTTCCGCGAAGAGAGGTTGTGAAATCGCAGAGGCAAGCAAGACGGCGGCTCCCATACTCAAGCTCATGGAGAAGGAGGCATCGAGTTCTCGGGCGATGGACTGATGCTATGTCAGTGGTGGTTACAGTCTCTTTCATGGGGCACTTACGGGGAGGATGACACAGATACATGTTGCATCGAACGCCGCGATAGCCGTTACCGTGTTGATGACAGCAAGAATGCCTACCCTCCGCCAGCGACTCATCTCATGTACGAAATCGGACTCGACAACCTCGAGGGTAGCCGGGTCAGAGTCCGGGTCGGGGTCAGGGCCGCGGACGAGGATGGGCACCATGCCATCCTCGGTCTCATAGACTTCGCGCTTGATTGAGAAGACTCCGTCTGCCATTGTTGGTTTAGTTAGATGTCGGTTGGAAGGGGGATAGGAGTAGGTGGAAGAGAAAGGGGGAGACACATATTATTTATTGTGGCAATATTTCCAAGTAAATGGAAGAGGGGACGACTGTAATCTCGAATCATATTTCTAGGGCTTCAAACACATTCAATTCTATGGCTTTTTGCGAAGTTTATCGGTTGCCACGTCACTTACAAGAAAATGCTGGAGGTCAACACAAAATAAAACTGTATTTGTCCCCATCTGCGAACTTTTTCCACCCTCTTGTCACTCCTACGTCTGTACCCGAAATGTCATTTACCAGTTGCCCAATGCTTCTATCAAGCTTTCTTATGTCCAGCGTGATATACTGGAACGCTTATTTTATCGTTGCCTACATTTTGAGGCAGCGTGTTCTAGATATTTATCGTCGTCTGAACGAAGATGAGCTTCGCAAACTTTGCCCTCTGATCCTTTTTATTCTTCGGGTTGGGTTTGGGTTTGCAATATCTTTTCCATCATGTGGAATAGCTGCTGCTACGACTCCTTGGGGGGTTAATCAGCCCCTGAATCCCTTCGGTCAGGTCTGTGTCGTGTCGCAAGTTGCGATATGGGCAAACGAACTCTCCCTGATTCGATTCTACTCTCTCGAACTCTTCGTTCACCACATACTCTGCCTCGTCGCAACATCGAACATTATTCTATCACCGTCTATACACCAGATCAAGCCCCTATACATCTACTTCGCTTCGCTGGTTGGAGATGTTGGGCCAGTATCCGTGAGCATTCTTCGACTGCTCGGTTACCGTCTGAGTACACACAAACCGATGTATTGGACATCCCTCGCGTCGACACTACTTCTGATCTTTGTTCGCATTGGGTGCGCATTGTATACTCTCACTCAAGTCATGACGGACCCTTACAACCTTACCGACTGGGTCTGGGTCATGGCCGTCTTGGTCTTCGGTTCCTACTCGATCTACACTGCGATTGTCAACTTGAAGCGTCTTGGAATCATCAAAGTCGATACGATACGATATAAAGTCACGTACTTCAACCTGTTCGAAGTCCCGATCGCAAACATGTACATGGCACTCGCTTGTAGTGTTTCGTTGCTCTCGACCTTGTTCCTGTATGGAATCTATTTGGATCGGCCTTTGAGGACAGGAGAAACACATCTCATCTCGCTTCATGCACTTGTCGCAGTAGTCATCGGGTTGACTATAGCTATTGCTGTCAGATGGGGCCTCCCTTACACCGCATGCTCAACCAATCCATGGGGGGACTTGTACGTTCCATTCGGGGTACTGGCTGCTGTCCACTACACCAAGTACATCAGTCGACAAACCTATGTCGACCACGATACAGTCTTGGGATCTATGGGGATCAGTGTCCCTCTTTTCTTCGTCTTTTCTGGAATGGCCCAATACTACACAGCCAAAGACGCCGCGGCAACACGCGAAGAGAAGAAGCCTGCAGATGTCAACTACGCCAAGATACATCTCCAGTCGGCTACCAAACACGCGGCGATATTCGTTATTACGCTAGGTGTTTCCTCTCTCAAGGATATGGATGTCTCGGATACGGCACGACTAGCTAGTTGTGCTTCTGTGTTGGGACAGCTTAGAACCCCCTGGCCCTTTGATGAGAGTCCCCTAACTCTGGACATATGGAGACCATTGGATAGTTTGGCATCCTTTATCAAATCTGATTTATCTCTTGCCAACGCTACTGCATTGTATATCGGATTCAAGAGCAGCAGCTTTGCCGAGGCTATCCAGGCTCGTTTGATCTTGGCGACGACTTTTACGGCGGCTACCTTCATATCAAGAAAAATGGTTTCGTCAAAGTCAGACAAGGCAGCGTCAACGCCCAGCAAGTCCAGGGGGTCCCATCTGATCACTCTACTCTATGTAATTTTCGGTACTTTACAGGCTATGTTGGTTTGGAAGTATATTACGTACGAAGACAGCACTTCGGAGGTCAGTGTTGGGTTCAAGAACTTCAGGTGCATCCTATCGGATCCTCGTACTTGGGTAGGACTTGTACACATGGCTGCATTGCCTATTGCTATCCTTCAGGGGGCCACATAGGAATTGGGTTGGAAAAGAATGATGGAGAGCACGATTATGCCACTTTTCTTTTGTAAATTAGATAAAAGTTTTGCCATTCTTGACGTTAAATCAAACTTCTGGTACTAAGTATAGTCCTCTATCCTGGTAGCGGTCGCTTCTTATCCAAGATTTGCGTCGTGTGAGGAACAAAGTTCGTTGTTTATACCATTCTTAGATTGACGTGACCTTTTAGATGATATACCACAGGCTTCTTGCTCCTTCACGGGCAACATCAAGTTTAATACTGGTGTTGAGCCCTTGACGTAGCCGTAACGCCAAACATGTTGTTGAGATAATTCACTTGAGAAGTCAGGTCAGTGATGGCGCGCGTGTTGATGGTCGCTTTGTTGCTGTTATCTCTTGCCAGGGTTGTCAGAGCCGAGTAAGTGTCTGTGACTTTGGAGATCTTTTCCGTTTGCTCGTCGACAAGGCTCTTGACCTAGGAAGGCAAACATTAGTTTCACGCGATGCAGTAGGTACGAGGCCGATTGATCTTACACTGGGAACTACTGCATCGATTCCCTCCTTGATGACAGTTGCGCGGTTGTTGTTCTTGGTCGTAGTGATCTCAAGTTCTTCGAGGCGGCGCAGAAGACTACTATTGATGTCCTTCATCTTGTTGAACTCATCTTGTCGCTGCGCTTCGGAAGCCCGGAGTTGTGCTGAGAGTGTTTGGATCTCGGTCTCGGCAGCTTTGAGTCTTTCTCCAGTTTTGATCAGGGTTTCTGCAATCGCTTTCTCAGAAGGAGTTGGCTCATTCCGTTGGCGAGGATGGTCGACGACCACAAATTCGTTTTCCGCCATGATTGCAAACTTTGATGAAGTTGTTGGTGAAATTTGGTGGTGAAGAAGAAGAAATAAAACAAAGGAAGATATGTTTCAAGCAAAAAGTTTGATCAAAGGAAAGGGAAGGGAAAGTAACACTGGAAGGATATAGGGGGGTCGGCTGCAAACACTGGCAAACATTGACCGGCCGCTCCTGCCAAACTTCAAACTTCACACAACTTTGTTAATTCTCATTTGACTAAGCAGGCAGGTTACAGAAGAATTATCACCCAAGGTTTAGGCTACAATAATAAAGTAACCTAAGTGCTGGTCTAAATCAGCATAAAGTAACCAACTTATTTCGTCTTTTAGGTTTTTGGGGTCAATTCTTCTGATACCTTGAGGCCAGGCAGCAACATATTCGACCTCTTCCTTAGGTTCCGTCCACGGCTTTCTCTTTGCCCTCCAACTCTAAATCAATCTGTTCCTTCCCAGTTACGACTCCAAGCCTCCCGTCGCATTGAGCGCCAGTTAGCTGCAGAGTTACAAACTATCAAAACAGACTCTGCACCCTACAATAGAAGCCAGAAGGATATTGAGTACTGGATGGCCTTTTGAGTCGCTTAGCGTGACCTGAACCTGGTGAGGCTTGTTCTTCCTGTTGTCTTTTCTCTCCAAAAGCAGCAGCCTAAGTAGCAGAGAATAAAGGGGGCAAGGGCGGTAGAATTCCCCCAGTCTTGGGCATAACGAGATCGGAACGCGAGAGACCGAAGCCTAATAGTTGTAGCTCTTAAAACATACTGGGTGCATCAAATGAGATAGGCCTTGTTTGAGATTCAAATGAGAATCTTAGGGGTGGCTCAGTCTCGGTGAGTCTGCCCTTCTCCCTATCTTGAGCTTTATCCCATGAGGCTTTAGCGGAGACGACACGCATTAAACTTTGTAAGAGGAGATTTCGAAAGATAATGGTGTTTTATATCTCCTTGGGATGTCTCCAAAGCCTCTCACAAGATTATCTCGACGATGGAATCGCATGGAATGAGTTGCGGAAGACGTACAAACAGGCAGAGGACGATGGACCGTAAATACACGAAAGCAGCTATATAACATGTCGTCGAGTCTATCTACAGACTCGACATTTGTAGGCTACCTTTGAAGGACTGCGCGGCAGGCAGTTAGAGTAATGAATTCATGAGTGATGAGTGGTATAAGTCTTAGGCTACTTTAATAAAGTAGTCTAAGTGCTGGTCTTAGCTGACATAAAGTGACCAAATTATTTCGTCTCTTATGCTCTTGGGGCCAATTACTCTAATACCCTGAGGCCTTCATACTTACTTTGAAAGCCGTTGTTCCTCGTTCTTGGCTCGCAATACAACTCACTGGTCGCCACGACTATCAAGAATGTCATCTAGTTTGACAGCCATGTCAACTCGCTGATCTTGCGAGTCAGAGCAAAGCTGCCAAAAAATGATCAACAGCTCAAGCTACTTGAGGATCAACCGAACTGATATCACCAGGACTGACTTGACATCATTGTTGATCAGTCCCTCGTTGCGGATCCTGCCATGATGTAATGGACGCTTTTGGCGATCCAGTCCAGCACAGAGTTTAGGAACAGAAAGCCACCAACTCTGGAATTGGACGCCAAGTTAGACGTTTGACCCAACGTCAGTTGATGGATGATGTATCCTCCATTAGCCAGGAACCAGAGACAATAGACTATGTTGTTATGCACACGCCTGAAGCTGATCTTCTGGTGTTATTGCATGGCACAACGTTGCCCAGGAAAGGGTTGTGGAGTGGACATATTAGAGTATAGTTCCAAAGGCTTTGAGGCTGATTCAATTCTCGATCGATTCGATATGGTCTCAGAGCCGCAGTGACATATGTATGGGATATGCTGCGAAGTGTTCCCATTCGGAGAGTTGGACGTCGTCTGATACAACAGCTAATCTGAGTCAATAACGTGATACACAAACGCCATCTCGATATAAGGCCAATTTCGTCATTGTAGATTTACAAGAGACCAAGTTTGTTACGGTACATGAGAATCTTTCCCACGTTGAGCACCGTTAAGTGACCTTTCCTTGGCTTAGATACAGGTTGTGGTCATGTGAAGGTAAATGGGGGTCATCGCGGGGGTCTTGCCTGTTTCACGCTGGATAACCGTTGCATAACCAGTTTCAGCTGAGTAAATGAGACAGACTAAACCAATAATCAGTGAATACAGCCTCTTTCTCTCTCTGACATCATTTTGGAATCCTTCATTGACCGAGGTTGTTGATTTGAGGTTGATTCAATGTCAAATGTCCATTTTCGGCATCACGTGGGTTGGAATATCTAGGCTGCAATCTGCATGCAATGCACAGATGCTCCCTCACAACATCAGATCAGAGTTATTAGTCCACATGTAGGATCTGATATTATATCACATTTTATTGTATCCAGTGACTGCCAACGCATCGACTCGGCCCGTCTGCCATCCATCCACCTTTGATTACCATGTCCTACGGGCCGCGGATCGACACCTCTTCTGGTTGAATGTGAATAGCACACCGCACACAATACAGTAATAAGACCAGGCACAGCAGCTCGAAAGGGTCTCATCCTTCATATCCCAGCCCCGGGCCCGCGGATCAGACCCTCGATGCATCCGCATGAATGAGATGTCAAGCATCCCAGGTTCTCCGCATCACCAGGTCCATCCTCCCTCCTTCGGGGCGGCCCAGAACCCATCACATGTCGCCTGTCAAACCAAAACAAGAAGCTGTCAATCTCAAAAGAGTCCAGACTGAACAATGATACGGCCCTTGGATCCGACCAAGAGAAACACCCTCCGTTTTCCTCAACGGCATAGTTTCTCCGTCGGCTGCTACCCTTTTTCTTCCCCGGACATGGGTTTATTTCTGCCAATTTCCAGTTCCCTGGGAAGTTGGGGAAATCCGGACGAATTTGGGGGTTGACCGTTGAAACCTGTCCGTCTGCCGCAACGAGAAGGAGGGGGTGGCAAGTTTACATGCAAGTCGACAGCCAGGACAGCGAAGCAGAACCAGAGGCAGATATGGATGACATTCAGAGGCCAATAGCCTGGAGCCTCCCCCGTGGCATGATACCGTGTCAGCTGGCACAAGGACCCTGCAGGCATTATGATATACCCGATAACCTGGGGTAAGAACAGATGTTTGATATCCAGTCCAATCCAATCTACCAACACATGCGCGACCTGCCTCTCTGAGCCGCGGGGGCGCAGTCGATGCTCAACTGCTGATTAGCAGAAGAACGATTATCAGGCAAAGGTGCCATGAGAAATCGCGCGCATCATCTTACAAGTCAAGCATCAGACGTTGTCTCGAGCATCAGAAGACACTCTCGGCTACACCACCATGTAAAGTTTACGGTACCTTCATTAAACACTTATCAGCAATCTGCTGTATGTTCCGATGAACATGCTTATTTCTCGATTTACAAGACAGTCTCGCTTGGACCAGACTGGCGGTAATTAATCCTTCAACCTAATAAGCTAAGCTTTTGGCGATAACCATCCCCGGTATGTTTCAATATCAAAGCTTGGCTCTGCCTGACCGGATACAAGATTTGACAACCGGTTGTCTAGTTCAACACATGACATTTATTAATTTAAAGTTGACAATACGACGTCCCCCAGCTCGAAATAGTTGACGCCAAGGCAGACATTTGATTGTTCCATCAACCCCCAACAGCCATGATCAATTACCGGCCGCGGCACAGCAAGAGATAGCAGCATTTAACTCTCGGCAGAAGAGACAAAATGGGCAATTGTTGAATGCGGAGAACCTGTCTTTCACCACGTGGTACTATTCTCTACGGGCGTTGAAGAATTGGAGGTACACTCCGGCACTGTATATCAAGTATCTCTCTCCGAAGTCGCTCAGAAAGAACAACGGCGGTTTATCCCCAAGATCCCGATAAGCGCTAGAAGAGGCATTAGTTGAAGGTTGCAAAGCTGGCGCTGATATTTCGGTAGCCTTAACAGGCTGGTGGTGTTCTCAAAGGGGCATCTTTTGTCGACGACCAATCCAAAACGTCCTGAAGGTTTCCCTAGAAGGCGGCTGAACAACCTTCTCTGCAGTAACATTGCTTCAGCCACTCTCTATCCTTCAAGGTCTCACTTGAATCAATCGATAGTCTCCAGTATCCATCTCCAACAAACGTGCACCAGCAGTACAGTAGCTCAGATCCCCCTCATCGGCAACTCCGTTGAATCCATGTTGGAGACTATAGTAGGATGCATATCTGCCCACATGGCGAAGGCGATTTATCGATAATTCTCATGGTAGAGTCCCCATCTTTGTTAACTTCGCCTCCTCGTGGCTACCTTAGGTACATGACACAGAAGCACAGCCACGAGAATTTCACGTGTCAAAGAGCTGGGCTTAAACCAAAGGCAACCTAGTCGAAACGAGAGGCTACAGTATCCATATTTGGTCTCCAATGACAGAGCAGTAATTATCAGTTTACTGCCGGACCGACACAGGGCGGTCAAATATAATTCAACGTCACTGGTCGAACAACAAGAAAAAGGGCCGTGAACTGTGCTGCAGGCGAAACGGTGATGGAGAACAGAGGCATGGCGATTCTACGGCCAATTGCGGCCCCTCAATAATGCCGGATGGAAAAAACCAGTTGGTTTTTGCTTATCAGTGTCAGGTGGGGAATAAATAAACCCGAGAAGAAAAAAGGAAAGAAGAAAAAGGGTGGATCGTGACTTCCGTTTTCTGGATCCATTCCGGTATTTCAGAAGGTGCATTCCGATACTCTGTCTGGCTCCTGCTGGGGCCGGCGGAGAAAGGATGATGCAACAGCGAGTTTTTTGCGGTGATGCGGCCCAACTCGACCGTTTGCATTAGAGTTTACAGGGCTGATTACAGGGGAGATGAGAAGCAGTTTGAAGTCAGTTTGAGATAGGCTTGACTGGCTTTACTCCACTAATCTACCCTTTCTCCAAAGAAAGGAAATGAGATGAACGTACGTAAAGGGGTGGAGATTGGGTGCGCGATAAA